GGGTTGCAGGAAGCTACGGCACGGGGTACAGGATGAAGCTGCCGCACACGCGCAAGATCATCGATGCCATTCACGACGGGTCGCTCCTGCAGGCCAAGTACACGGCGACGGACGTGTTCAATCTCGCCGTCCCTGATCATGTCGAGGGTGTGCCTGACGAGGTTCTGATGCCGCAGAACATGTGGGCGGACAAGGAGCTRTWTAACACCACTCTGAAGAAGGTTGGCGGGCTGTTCAAGGCGAACTTCAAAAAGTTCGAGGACTACACCGTTGGAGGGGACAAGAAGCTGACGGAGGAGATTCTTTCGGCCGGACCGCAGCTGTGAGCAGGCATGAAGATCGGGGTATCTCAAATGTTATGTGATGAGTTCGAATGAAGAGTGTGTCCTATGTTAGGATACGTGAGAAWTTTTGCCGAAGTTTTTTGACACGGTAGCTGCCGAAGTTTTTTGACGGATTAGTGTGTAGTTAATGCGGACATTCTTGTTCGGTGGATTGGTGTTATATCCCACTAACGGATCTGTGGTTGGGATTGTCAAGGAACTCCCCGTTTCACCCAATTTCAGCGCCTATTCAATTCTGCAGAGTATTGACTTTATCTGATGTAGGCTTGTATTCAATTGGACTGCTATAATACTGTCGGTTATTCAATTGTCAAATATGCTGTGTCCGAAAAAAAACAATTTGGTACTATTCTTTGGTTCGTACACTCTTTTTCTGATGCTATTTGCTGTCCAACTATGTTTTCCAGTGTCAGGGTGGATTCTCTTTCTACTTGCCAGCAATGCTCTTTTCGCTGGGTTGTCGTCGTTCTAATGGACATTTCAATAACGGTCACTATCGGGTTTGGCTTCGTTGATATCGTGCAGTCGTAGTGCTTGACAATTTTCTGAGTCGAAATGTTCTATGTATCTAACTGCTTTGAATACATGTTCGTGTTCCACGTCCTGATACGACCATTCCGAACGTCATTCATCATTCGGCTTGAATGAAGGATGGAACGCGGAGTTGGTTCGGCTTGAATGAAGGCTGGAGGATCTGTGAAGATGATCTGCAGGTTTTCGGGGAATTACAGCTTTCAATACGAAGCTTTTGCCGCGGGGGGGATTTATGCATCGTAACCCTCCCTAGATTGTGCCGTATATCAGTGTCTCTTTTGTCCACTCTCGCTCACTCGTTCGCTCTCATTCTCAGGGTAATGCCGACCTTTGACTGTTTGACAACGATCTGTCGGAAGCATGTCAAGGGTCTGAAATTTATTTTTGCCTTCCTATGAAATCTCCCGGCGGCCAAACCTTTGTATTCATTTCACCCCAAATGGTTTCGCCGCGAGGATATTTTATAAACTTTTCTTTCTCTCTGTGTGTCTCGCTCTCACTCCTACCCCCCCCTCCCCTCAAAACGCTCGAAGGGGAAGATATCGTCTGCGCACGACTCTGTCCTCCTTCCTCACAACGCCACCCATTGGAGTACCCACAGCAGCGGCATGATCTGTGCACAGCAGCTTAGCAGCTATGGACCACCACTCGAGTCTATGATGATGATGAGAATAATTGTACCCGGCGTCCAATGAAGGATGGCCTCTGTTTTCGATCTCGAAATACATGAGTTTGATATCCTCTGGTTTGAAATTTTGTATTGGTTGTTTGTCGAAGTATTTTGATCTATTTGGCGAATGTACTTTCTGTCAGATTGCGAACACATTCGGACGACATGACATTGCTATCCGTTGGCTCACACGGGTTCGAGATGTCGTGTGGATTTCCTATGATTATTTCATCCTGAAACGTGAATTTCCAGAACCTTTGTTTGTCTTCGTCGATGGTGTGCTGGATGACCATGCATATTATATCTGAGAGATTTTCTCTAGCGTCATGTCCTAAGAGTACATCTGTTTCGCCCGACACGTCTTGCCTCTCGTGCCGATGTGTTGCAGACATTGTATATTTCGAGTGGACCGAGTCCTTCCCAAGAAATTGTATGTTCTGAGTCCTCAGGCAGGCTAATGTCATATGTCAGGCTTACCTAGATGTAACTGGAATGAGATGGTGATCACGTCGGGGTACCTTTCAAGAGCGTGAATTCAGTCGAGCTCGGTTTGATTGACGGGGGAGAAACTGTCACGACTTAACCGTTGAAGGATTGTTCTCTTCATCGACTCTCAAGTTTAATTGTCAAACGGCAGAGGGCAAAGCATCTTATTTTGGCCTCTTTCCTTAGTTTCCTACCCTTGTTCTCTCGCTCTGTCCCTTATTTACACCGTCCTTGGACTGTATCAGCATCCTCTACGAGGCTATGTCCGGGGTATGTCATCAGTGTCATGTCTTGCTTTTTTGTTGTGTCTTGGGATTGTTGTTTGTGTTGATTGATTAATCGTATATCGCAGGTCGTCGTTCGCAAGGTATGCTGATATATCTGCCTTTCTCTATCTTTGACTGCGTTCCTTCACTGCAATTGCTACGTAACTGCCGGTAGGGAAAGTGTTAGTCTTCCTTCTCTGGGACTAGCTGGTTTAGGAGAAATTGCATACATACTGGTGTGCAAGAGTGTCGTAGCAATTGTATGTATGGGTGCTGAGTGCTCGAGTCAAAGCACTCTAGAGGGCCATGGGTCCTACGCTCACCAAAATGTAGTCGACCGGTGTATCTGTGCAAAAACGTTTGTGAATCCGCTGGTCTGCTTTCATAGGTGTTTTTCTTGCTCAGTGCATGAGCCGAATCATCCGTCGGTATAGTACTATACCGAGTTACTTCTACAAACCGGTATATCTCACTTTGCCCGCTGGTTTGTACTTGGGTTTTGCTGAACTGTGGATTCTTCTTCAACCTAGCTGTCGCGCTGTCGTGACAATCAATCCGAGGCTGCACAAAATTTTCTACCCAATGTAACCATCCCTGATAACGCTGTGCCCACCTCTCCCAAGTAGTCCTATCCCTGTCCTCAGCCCAAAGCTTGATGCGTAAACACTGGAAGTTGGACCATAGAATGTGCCAGCTCTCGAGCAACAACCCTATTTCCAGAGCTGCTAATTGGGGATGTTTATTTTTAGGGGAAACTACGCGGGAGTCACAAGAGAAGTTTGAAAATACACTTGGGGCGAAAAAGAGTTTCGAATTGCACTTGGGCAATGTCTACGAGATAGCTTTTCGGTCAGGTAGGGTTGCGTGGGGGTGAGTTTTGTTCGGGTGAATGACCGAAGTCACGGCGAAGTGCAATTTGAAACTGTTTCTGTAACTGTCCTGAAGTTACCTCTTGCATGTTTTGTTGTTTTTTTTTTTCTCTTTTACCATCATTACCTCTTGCATGTTAAAATGTGCAGTTCATAAAAGGAGGAAATGCTATACTTCACCCTTCTTTTTTCCAATATTACAGAATTAACTTTCGGAAAGAATTTGCCTGTTTACTTATGCGGAAGCCTTAAGTCTGCCCAGCCGGAGGCTCCCTCTTGTCATGCAGCATATTCGGTGTATACTTTAGGGCAAACTACGGGCATGTAGTCGGACGACCACGAAGGTATATCAGAGCCCAATTCATGATTGATTCCATCATTATTGGCATCATACTCTCAACTGGACACAGAACACTGATCTCTATCCTCACCGCATTCAAGTCAATCACGCCCAAAGAGAAATCGACAAATATGGAACTGATGCGTAATCAATTCAAGCCAGCGCGGAAGAACTGAGAGAGGGTGCTCCTTAGCTATCCAGGGCCCTTCAGAACGACAAAAAACAGGCATCCAGGCTCCTTCAGCTATCCAGAGGTTGTCGCGTCTTAGACAAAAAACAGGAAACTCCCCGTGGAGGACTCAGCCCCGAGGCAGTCGTAAGAGCTTGGGCTCTTCGAACGACAAAAAAACAGGCAAGCGGCGAACCCTATGGAGGACTCCATCAGATCCAAAGCACCTGGGTTTTAAAAGACTCTTCTATGTGATGTAATCCCTATGGAATACTTCATCAGATGTAATGGAACCGGGTTTTTCCATGTAAGATATGCTGATGATTTTGTTATTATCATAACATGAGCATCCAGAGAAGATGCTGTCTAGATCAATGCAACGTTTTAGTGTAGGAAAGACTCAGAAAGGGGAAGCACTTCTGCTCCTGAACATATGCGATTAGAGTTATTGATTACCTACTCACGGTTTTAGCTTATGCACAGTTATTGATTACCTTCTCACGCTCTTTCTGCTCCCTCCGTCCAGGAATTGGATCACAATCTATTCCCGTGTTTGTAAGACGATGGCTTTCTGGTCATCCTAGCAAAGTGAGCAGTGAAGTGCATCCTTCCTCGAGGTTGAAGTGGTCAGTCTTTTTTTGGTGGAGATTGGGGATATAGAGCTACCGTATTCAACTGAATAGAATGCCCGGTAATTATTGCCGAATCTGGGCTGAAAGCTTCACCAAATACAGCTATAATGACCTGGCGTTCTCTTCGGGTGAAGACGGCAGCCCAGGATGGAGTAGTGGAAGAAGCACATACTGGTCTATGGAGTTGGGAGAAACGTAAAAGGGAAGAGTAGGAAAGAGGGAAGCGAGATAACTTACCTTTGATGAGCTATGGCCGACCTTCATCTTCACTGACCTCGTTGGCAATGCATCGGGAAGATTTGGAGAGGTGCCCCGTGTGATAGGGCAAACCACCTTGCCAGTGCTGCGGAAGATAGTGCGAAAGAAAGGATTCTAGTGTGCCAAGGATTCTAGTGAATCTAGTGAAGATGGTGGGCTGCACTCGGGCAGAGTTTCAGGCTGGATCTGTAATCTCCATATATGGGCTCGTTCCTTTAGGGATGAAGCAGATCGACAGGCAAGAGGGATGATAACAGAGATCCGCTGCCGTGCCGTGCAAGCACTGCAAGGGCATCATCGTTCAAAACCCATTCGAAGAAAGACAACAAAACCAACATGTGCAAAAAAGATTCAAATATACTACAAATGGCAAATGGTCGTCAACGACTCGTCATGCCACTGACAATTTGACATCCTCGTTTTCCCACGCCGGGTCGAGAAGACCCGGAGACGGCAATCAGGTGCACTGTGCTAAGTTGCTAACGTCTCCGGCGGAGTTCAGAATCCGAAGAAGCTACCTGTCACAATTAAGGGGATGCCGATTCTTCGGATTCTGAACTCCGCCGGAGACGTTAGCAACTGACCCATCGGCGGTGGTCAGGGAGTAGGGTGGGGCCGCCGGTGGGGGGGAGGACCGGCTAACACGAGGACTGAGCATTTTGACAGTACATGCATCTCCCATCTACTTCCCAACCCCCCCATCGAGTAGCAGCAGTGGCTCTGACCAACACACTCCTACACAACCCACTCACGCTCACGCTCAGGCCTACACGCACACTCACACCAACACCCGTGATGGTCATGTTAGACCGTACTACCGGGGT